AAACGGGAAGGGCGATATATATCTCCACGACTGAAGGTTCTCTTGTTCTAGATAATAATAAAAATAATATAACGCATATATATAGTTTTCTCATTGATTTTAGCAAATTACACGATAAACAATGTACTAAGGATGACTTTGAAGATTGGACTGCAAGAAAAATTGATGGTAAAGAGTGTTTAATGGGCCATAAGGTTAGTTTATATATTATTTTTATTTTATAAATGGTGTCATATATTTATATTGTTTTTTTTTTTCTTCAATAATAGACTACATATAAACGTCGAAAGGCTGATGCTAAATGTTATGTCGGAAATGATGACAATCATTCTCATGAAAAAATAGAGGATGTTTGTGACTGTACTGATGAAGATTTCGAATGGTAAATTTTTTTTTTTTTAATTCTAATGAATTTGTTAATTGATAACGTTTTGATACATTGTTTAAAATTGGGTTCATTATAGTGATCAAAATTTCATTTATGATTCTATTATGAAAAAATGTGTCGCAAATGGTCCTGAGCCTGTGCCTCCGGGAACATGTAAACAAGTGGGTGATACTTATAAAGGGTCTTCAGGATATCGATTAATTCCTGGAAATAGATGTAAACTAAATAGTGACACTGAATGGAAGACTGAACCTGTTGAAAAGTCTTGCACTGATTGTGATTATCCGTGTTTTATAGATTTCATTATTACTTTTTAAACATCATTTGTTTCAATTTTTAAAATTTTATTCATTTAATTTAGATCAATTGCCTTTTGGTGAGATATCTCATAGTACACATGAAATTGAATTTATAAACTTTTATTATTTCAAAAATTCAAAGGTTTGCATATGTTTTACCTAATTATTTAATGCTATAATTCTTAACTACGTTAATAATATTGTTATCTGCTGAAAATTATACAAGGTTATATTGGCAATAACGCCTCAGGGAAATGTCTATCGAAGTGACGATGAAGGCACTAATTGGAAAAATTTAGCAAATGGAGACTTGGCAGATGCAGGAGAAATCATTTTTATATTTATGCATGATCAAAGTAGCGATAAGGTTACTCATATTATTTATATTTCATTTGAAATTACATCAAGACAGCATTTGTCATCTTAATTTTAACTTTATAACTAATATAATAAATTGTTGATTTAGGCATATTTGTTCTCAAAATCAAACTTATGGTATACAGGAAATCAAGCTGCTAGCTTCGAAAAGTTAAGCCTACCTCTACTTCCAAATAATCTTGGCCTTCCTCTCCTTGATTTTCATCCTACGGAATTTGACTGGCTTTTATATATGGGAGGTACTACTTGTCCAAAATGCCATACCGAAGTATATTTTAGTGATAATAATGGAAGATCATGGGAAAAGATTGAAACTTGGGCGGAAAAATGTATATTTGCACGAGATAAAAATTTCGAAAAGAGAGATAAAAAAGACATTTTTTGTTCATCATACAAAAACAAGAATGATAAAGAACAAGATGAATTACGGGGCAGACCTACAAATGATAACCCTTTACAACTTGTATTAAAAAAAGATTTTGTAAAAAATGAAGTTTTATTCGCTAGTGTTGTAGAATTTTTTGTTTTTGATGTGTATATGGCTGTTGCCACGGTATATGTGATTTACTTTATATGTATTGAATATTTTAATCATGTTATCATGCATTTATTTTTGAATTCTGTTTTTAACGCATAGGAAAATCGTGGACAATTACATCTGTATACTTCAATGAATGGTGAAGATTTTTCTAAAGTTTCTTTCCCACCTAATCTTGTTGTAGACAATAAGGTTAGACTATTTAAATATTTATTATTTATTAATTATTAATTATTATTTATTTATTATTCATGATGCTTTAGCGTTTCAAGTTGAAATTTTTTTTTTATTCTTATTACTTTTTAATTTTTAGGCATATACACTTCTACAATCAACTACTGGTTCTGTATTTCTTGACGTTACTAAATCATCACGATTTGGAGAAGAATATGGTTCATTGTTTAAATCCGAATCAGCTGGTGTAAATTATTCTTTAATTCTGGATGATACCAATCGTAATACTGTGGGCAATGTTGATTTTGAAAAAGTCCAAGGTATAGTTGATGGCATAATATTAGCCAACGTTGTTAATAATACTCAAAAATTAAACGGAGAAATGAAAGAAATAATTACCAAAATTAGCTTTGATGATGGTAAGAAATAAGTATTAAAATATAAAATTCATAAAAACTGTGATACATTAATACTGAAAATTTATTAATTTAGGATCTACATGGGAACGATTGAAAATTGAGAATTGCCAGGTATGAATAATTTATTTTTTTGTTTGAAATATTTAATCAACATATATTGATATGTGATTCATAGGGGGAGAGGTGTTATCTCAACTTGCATGGTAGAACTGCTATTCATAGACCAGGCGGAGTCTTCAGCTCATCTTCTGCGATTGGTCTCTTAATGGGTGTTGGAAATGTAGGCTCAAGTTTAAAACCATACTCTGAATCTGATACATTTATGAGTCGTGATGCCGGGCGTACCTGGTTAAAAATTCGTAATGGCGAAAGCTTGTACGCATTTGGTGACCAAGGTTCAATTATGGTAGTAGTCGATGATGAAACTTTAACTAAAGTATTACTGTAAATATATATTACATTTTTTGAAATGTCATTATTATTGATTTTTTGGGCTGATGCTAATGTTATTTGAAATTTAGGTATAGCTTGAATTACGGGAATTCATGGAATAGATATCAATTTTCTGACACCCCTGTTCGCATAGCTCAATTAACAACTACATCTAATCAATCCACTATGAAATTCATCATAAGAGGAATAATTCCTTCTGAACAACAAAATGATCCTAAATGGGTTTTAATTACTGTTGACTTTTCGTCATTATTGCCGAAAAAATGTATTAATCTGATATTAAAAATATATACTTGTATCACTTTATAATTATGAAAGGTTATCGTTAAACTAATTTATTATTTTTTTTCATTATAAAATTTTAGGTGAAATTAATAATTCTGATAATATTAAGAGCGATTTTGAAGTATTTGACCCGATGGTCTATTCTAAAAATAAATGCTTTTTGGGCGAAAAGGTAACTAAATTCATGAAATACTGTATCATTTCTGATTGACTTGATATTTTTTTTCACTAAAATTTTATTGCAATTATATCATTTATCATCTAACGTTGAATAAACTTGACTTTTAGGTGACCTATTTACGTCGCAAAATCGATCGAAAATGTAAAATTCTTGAAGATCTTCAGGAATATGAAAATAAAGAAAAATGTGAATGTAATGAATACGATTTTGAATGGTTTGTCTTATATTGTTTATATTATAGCTAGTTTTAAATTTTAGTTTAATATTAAATTTCAATGATGATGATTTCATTTAGTGATGTTGGTTATTGGCGTGAAGATGGCAAATGCAAATTACTTGGATATGATCATCAACGCCCTGACGTGTGTAATAATAAATATCTTGCCAAATCTGGATATCGCAAGATTTCTAAGTCAAAATGTGAAGGTGGAATAGATCTAACGAAAGATATATATAAAAGCTGTAATGATACAGGTATACGTTTATAACGAATTTTAAACCGAAGGTTGATCAACCTTATCAAAATATATAAATATATTAATTTATTTGTTTATTCTTAGATAACATTGATATTATTACGAAATTGGTATTTATTTAACTTTATTTAAATTATATGTCGTTATTACAAGTCTATTAAAACTAACATTTCTTTTAGCAATCCTTTGATTCTCAAATTACAGATTACTTTTATTTCACGAATTCAAACACAACACTTATTCGTGTAAATAAGCAAGTTTGGAAGAGTACTGACCAAGGATATTCTTGGAAAGCTATTGAGGGGCTTGACAATGTTCTTGCAATGATCCAAAATCCCTATTTTAATAATTATGTATGTGAGCCAAGGCTTTTTCATTATTAAACATTTATGTATCATTAAACTTAAGTGATTCCATTCGTTTTCGTTCTTTAGGCATATTTTGTAAAACTTTCTGACACTTTATATTATACAACTGATTCTGCTAAAACTATCAATACTATGAGTTTAAAATTGAATCCTAATGTTCTTGGTATACCAGTTCTCGATTTTCATCCAAAATTTCCTGATAGGCTCATTTATACAGCAAGTGAAGGATGTGAAAGCATATTCTCCACTGACTGCCACTCGGTTGTATGTATTTTTTATAATTATTTATAAGTTTCTAAAGTTTTTTATAATATATCTCATACGATTGTTTAGGCTTATTATACTAAAAGTCATGGCAAACGCTGGACCGAGCTGGATAAATATTCTAGAATTTGCACATGGGGACGTGATAGCAAATTTACTATCGATGAAAATCTTATATTTTGTGAATCTTATCGTGATAAAACTGGATCGCAAAAATCATTTTCCAATAATCCACTTCAGCTTTGGTCAACGAGAGATTTTGGAGCAAATAAAAATATACTATTTTATAATATTAATGGATTTATTACATTTGAGAATTTTATGGTAGTTGCAGAGGTACGGAATGGAATTTTTATTTTGAGGATTGATAAAATTTATATGTTTTCAAGTAAGGATTGGAATCGGTTTAGTCAACAAAAAATTTTTATAGTAAGCTACTATGTTTAGTCATTAATTAGTCGAACCGATTCCAATCCCTATTTTCAAGTTGAAAAGAGGTCATAAATATGCCATACCCCATATTGGTTGAAATCTTTTTGATTCAGAATCGCACTGTCCAAGATAAGAATTTTGATTTAGAGCTAGGTTTAGTAGATTTAATTTTGGTCAAAATTCCCATCCGTGACAATTTATTTCAATGATTTATCAATATGATAGAATTATATAGAGATTGGCTTTGGCAAACTTCTCTTTTTAATAATTTTAATAATGTTTCGTTTACTTATTTATCAAATTATAGTTATTGCCCAATCAGAAACTTCAACTTTGGTCTTCTATGGATGGAGAAAATTTTGCAAAAACGCAGTATCCACCTTACATGGAAGTGCAAGATGTAAGTTTTACAATATTTAATTGGAACATATGAATAATAAGTTTATTTAAAATATTCGATGTAAATAAATAATCCGCATCCGATTATGAAATTTTAACTTTTATTAATAATAATATAATAATAATGATATTATTATTATTATTATTATTATTATTATTATTATTATTATTATTTAGGCATATACAATTTTAGAATCTACTACTGGATCAATCATATTACATGCTACAACATCCTCTCAAAATAATTGGGGAAATATAATGAAATCAAATTACAATGGAACTTATTATTCTCTTTCTCTAAAAGATGTCAATCGTGATGGAAAAGGTTTTGTTGATTTTGAAAAGATGCGAGGAATAGAAGGAATCGCCTTAGCTAATATAGTTAGCAATACTAATGAAATAATCATTGGTGGTTCGGTTAAAAAGCTTCAATCAAGAATTACATTTAATGATGGTAAACGAATAAATTAAGAATAATGCTCTGATGTATTAAGCTTTTTTATAAAAATTTGTATCTTTGTAAATTCTTAGGTGGCACATGGCAACCGTTAAATCCACCAAAAGTCGATTCAGAAAATAGAACATATGATTGTAATGTAAGTAATTATAATTACCATAATTTCTCATATTATTCATCCCGTTATTTAATACATAATTAGCTTAACTGCTATTCCTAATTTATTAGGGTTGCAAGTTACATCTTCATAGCTATACTGAACGCAAAAATCCTGGAGACTCCTTTAGCTCCTCTTCAGCTGTAGGTTTGATGATTGGTGTAGGCAATGTTGGTGATTATCTCACTCCTTACTTGGATGGTAATACTTTCTTGACCCGAGATGCTGGTGTCACATGGACAGAGATTAGGAAAGGTGCATATATGTACGAATTTGGAGGTCAAGGTTCTGTTTTGGTTTTAGTAGATGATGAAGCACCCACCAATCATATTTTGTATGTCTTGTTTCTTTTAATTTAAAATCCTATAATACATAATATTCTAACCTTATTCATTATAATTATTAGGTATTCTTTCAATGAGGGCAAATCATGGCAAAAACATTTGTTCACAAATAAACCTATTAGAGTTCATGATATTACAACACATCCTAATGGTACTCAAAGTAAATTCCTTTTACGAGGACGTTATCAAGGAAACTTTGATAATGAAGTGGTGGTTTATCTCGACTTTACTCCCAAGTTGCTCAATAAATGTACCGAAAACTTTCTTAAATGATTCTGATAAAGCAATTTCATCAAATTATTATGCTAATATCTAATGAAAATGCTCAAATTCTACTTTTTAAATAGGTTTGAATCTCACTAACAACGAAAGCGATTTTGACTTATGGACACCTAAACATCCAGAACATTCAGGACATCAACATGATTGCTTATTCGGCCACGTGGTACATGTCGTATATCCTTAAATGAATTTATTGGATTTTATTTGATGACTAAAATTTATTCTACATTTTAAAGGCGAAATATTACCGAAGAAACCTTAAACGTGATTGTTATATTGGAGAAGAATTCTCACAATCGAAAGTAATTCTGGAAAATTGTAAATGTGATGAATACGACTTTGAATGGTGAGAAGAAAAATATTAACCATTTTAATTTTCACGTTTAACCGTTAAAATAATTCATTCTAAATTACAATTTTTTTAGTGACTTCAACTATTTTCGAGATAAAAGTAAAAATAATAGTTGCACATTGGTTCCTGGCACCTCACCTTTAAATTTAACTATTCAAGAAATGTGCGCCAATGGTGCGAAGGTTTGGTACAATGGGTTCGGGTAAGTTTTTATTATTTTTAAACTTTATCGCGCTAAGTTTATTAATAAGAAAAATTAAACGTCTTGTAGATATCGTAAAATTCCTATTTCGACATGCTCTGGTAACGAAGAAGCTTTCTTAGGTGAAGCTAATATATGCCCTAGTGTTGGTTACTCTTCCAATAAGTGGATTACCATAATCATAGTACTTATTGTTCTCGGAGCTATTATCGCATGTTGCATGTATAGGAGACGCAATCGGTACTCATATTTATCTCAGGGGTTGGTATTATTTTTATTTTCCAATCAATTGTTTAAATTTATTCTCTTCTTGCAATAATAATTATTTTTTTTAAAAAAAAATAGACGCATCCGTCTCGGGGATCCTATGGCAGATTCACAATCATTTTTATCAAATATATTTGAGTCATTTATGGACATTGTTTCACAAATCCTTTCAAAGATTCCTTTACCAGGTTCGGGTTCGGGTAATAGATATAGATATAGACCCGTTCCTCAAGATGATCATCAGGAAGTTTTGTTAAATGATTATGATATTGATAATCAAGAGTTATAAAGTTTTTATTTTTTTCTTATTTGTTATATTGACTGTAAAAAATTAATCAAATTTGTAATGGTTATTTTATTTGTAATTAAAAGTTGAGCAAAAAAATTTGCAAGAAATTCAAATTTCTTTTCAGTTTGTATTAATGGTGTTAGACGAGACCGATGTCTAAAATCGAAATTAAATCCGCCAATGATTCAAGTTGATGAAAGTCTTTAGTCGAAAATATCTATTGTAACTATAGGAAAATCTCACCTACTCGAGTATTAAATTTACGCATAATCATGTTTATTCTACCGAATCTCTTAGTTTTGGCGTGTTAAAAAATAAATATAATGAGTTTTTTTTACTGATGATAGCAATGTATACTTATAAGAATAGAACTAACTTGCTCGCAAGTAGTGATCAGGAACTTATAACCTAAAGCATAAAGTTGATAAAGGGGACGTCATCAATCAAAATGTGCCATAGTGAGATTAAAAAATTGGTACATAATAAAATTAATTGTAACATGGGGTGTCATTGATCAATGTCCGACATTATTTATTATACTGAGTACAAATAACACGTTACATTTAATTATACATACCAATATTTTTAATCTCACTATGGCACGTTTTGATTGATGACGTCCCAAATATAATAATTCGGAATAAAGTCATAACGATAAGTGTAACTCATAATCATCAAATAACTTATTCTGTGTATAGTCCCGAACTTAATGTGCCATTTTTATAAAAATATTAGGCAATTAGGTAAATCTACGTATTACGTAAATGCATCAGCGTCTTTCGAATCATTAAATACATTAATTACCTTATATTACGCAGGTTATATGTTAAAATTCCTATTCTAATGTCAGACAATATTAATTGGTTTATACTGTACCCCAGGGACACGGAAATTGTGTGATTTAGTGTGATTAAACCAAATCGCACTAAATCGCATAATTTTATATTCTCCGATAAAAAAATTGTGTATTAATTTATTCTCCGATTAAAAAATTTGCTAGTTGAGCGCAGTATTTAAAAAATTGCAAGTTTTTTTTACGAGTAAAATTTGCAAATCGCACTTTTAAATTTTAATCATCAGCAAATCGCATATATTACACATAACATACCGCACGCATAATTTACAAATTCTTATCGCATAAATTCCGTGTCCCTGCTGTACCCTGATCACTAATCAAGATCGCCGGCGGATATGAATTATTTATACACTAGTTTTCATTTCCGCTTATCCCCATTGCCGCCCAATATATAAATATTACATATCACTTTCTTTTATTTTAATAATATATTTTTTTTATTAAATCCTTATTTGATACGTGTACTTTTAATTTTTTTATTAAATTATATTTACAATATATACAGTATATAAAATTTAATATCGCGGCTGATGCTGAAATTTGGGGGCTCGATTTGAAAATATAAGCCCTGCTAAAATCCACCTATACTCTTTAAATATCAAATCTAACCCTAAACCATTTTCCAAATTTCAGCATCAACCGCGACATTTAACAATAAAATTTTTACTTAAAAGTTAAAAAATAATTTTAAATTATTATAAATTGTTAATTTTTTTTTTGTTTTGATTACACAATATCTTATGATCTAATTTACACAACTAGTTAATATCTTCTAGAGTAAAAATTAACAATGAAATACTGTTCAAGAAAAATTTCTTGCACATCTTAGTTTAATGCATTACTTAATTTCTTATCTTTGATTTAATTTAAATAATATTTAAAAGGCATTATTAATTGTAAAAGTTTAATTTTTAGATAAAAATTCTCAACTTTGTATTTCAGTAATCTTGCATATATTTAAGATAAAACTTATATATGGTGGTTTCAAAATTTCTAAATAATTTGGCATCTGATTTCGGATAAAATAAGTGACATTTTTTATTCATATATAGTGCCCCTATTTAGCTTCTTGATTTCAGAATTTCAAGACGTAAATAGGGTTTTGTTATCCCCAACTGATGAACTATCACAAATGATTTCTAAACACTTCGGAGAGCTAAATTCTTTTTTTTTTTATTACTTTGATACTTCTAATTAATTATCATGTATTATTTCTCGCTAGGACGCTTTACATATCAATACCATCAAATGCAAATGAAGATAATCATGATGTATCGAGTTACCTTCATTGTGATCATTATAATTATGAAAGATGGGCATGCTAAAAATAAAATCTATTTAAAAACAAAACACAATAAGCAGACTGTCATTAATATCATTCAACCACATACATATTTTAGGTTGAATGACTGCTGAATGTTGATAATAGTTCAAAATCTCCAAGAGTGGTATTAAAAACAAGTAGGGCTAAATAGCTAGAAAAAACTTTTGCAATAAAATAAATTAGCTGATAAAACTTTAAAATAAAAATAATAAAATACAACCGCATGAGAACCAGTGAAAGAAAATAGTAAAATGAGTGAATATGTTTACTACCGTATTTTCGCCCACCTACGCGATATTTTGAGTATATGCGCGTTATTTAGAGCAGGGTTGTCATTGGACATGCTTGGACAATTTTGGACAAAAAAATAAATTAAAATTACTCTAAATTTTATTAAGATAATCAATATTATTTCTTAAGTAAAATATAATCAGCACCTAAAAATATATATAATTATATATTTTTTAAACAAATTCAATAATTATTAAAGCTTAGAGATGCCTTGGACAATCTTGGACGTCCAAGCATTTGGAGGCTTGGACATAGTAACGTGACAATACTGATTTAGAGTACACCCACCTGCGCGATATTTTGAGTATATGCGCGTTATTTAGAGTACGCGCATAGGCGTTCTTTTGGAAAAAAGATAAAATTTTCCCAAACCTACTGTTATATCAAATTATTTTGTTGAAACCCTAATGTGGGGTCGCGTCATTTTGGGACGCGCATGAGCGTTATTTTGAAACTATGCATGCTATTTTTAGGGATACGATTTTCTAAATAACGTATGTACATGCACATGCCCATTATTTTTTACATTTTTTGGAATCTGGAAATCGATTTTACGTATGCTAAGTAAACTCTCTTTTGCTTCTAATAAAAGTTGTAAGGAGAGAATTCCGGTCACTACAGCATTTTTGTCCTCGCGATTATATGATTACTTCTTCGTTACATTATAAGTAGAAGAGAAGTTTACTTAGTATAAAAAATTGATTTATCCTTTGGGAAACGTTGATTCCAAAAAAGACAAAACACAATAGTAAATTTCCCCATGACTCACTATGTTTTTCACTGGTTCCCAGACAGTTCACGAATTAATTAGTGAAATTTAAAAATAACCCATTTTAAACCCTTTGGGTATAGTTAGAAAAAGTATTAATAGTCAGTGTTGTCAATTGGACAAATTGGGCATAATAAAATTTTTATTGGACTTTATTGAACACATGCCAATTCCAATAAAGTTTTATTGATCATTGCCCAATGCCAACATTGGTTAGAATAGTTAGTGAGATGCCCTCAGTATAATTAGAATTTTTATATATTAAGTAAGAACAGAGCATAGCTATTATTTATAATATGTTACACTTTAGCGTCAGTATAGCTATGAAGATGTAACTTGCAACCCTAATAAATTAGGAATAGCAGTTAAGCTAATTATGTATTAAATAA